TCTCAACCGTGAAACCGTACCAGATAAGTACCCAATACCGCATATCCAAGATTTCACAAACGGTTTACAGGGTATGAACATATTCACTAAAATTGACTTAGTCAGGGCATATCACAATATCCCGGTGGCTGATGAAGATATCCCCAAGACAGCTATTACAACACCCTTTGGCTTATTCCAGTTTGTACGCATGCCATTCGGCCTGAGAAACGCGGCACTTCCTCAGATATTCTTATTCCACAGTCTAACAATTTTTCATGAAAGCACGCAGCAAACCGTCAGCTATAGTTGTAGAAGAAATCACATGCTACAAAATAAGATGACAAGCTAGTAAATGAAGAGACATCCATGGACTACCGTTGACAGCTGACAGCGTTATTTGCCACTGATTGTAAGTCAAACATTGAGTGAGTTGATAATTTTCCCTTGGGATGAGAAATAGAACTAAGGTGTTTTTGATAGATAGGTTAATCGAACCGACGTTCCTACGGAAGTCGATTCTAGGGGGAAGCCAATGTAACAGCATAGGTTGGTTGGTTAAGAGTTGACCCCAAACAACCAAGCATATGCCAAAACAGTATTGTTCAAGTACTCATTCACTTCCTTATTTTGTATAAGCATTATATTCCATATTATGTTATATTGAATGTTGAAAGCCTCTTGTTTGCCTGAACAGATAATCCCACGCTCCCCTGTGACTGCGCGAAGATCGAAATAAAGACTAATTCACTTTTTGTCTGGCTTCTTCTATCAATAGCACGAGGGTTACTTATAGGCACGAATGGTTCATTCAGGTTTAGTATATTCCCACACACTTTAGATAACAATCTGCTTAAGTCACTGAAGGCAGACGCTGCGGTAGTTTAGCATCATATGATCGCATAAATCACCATGTGACCCTATGGTTACGTACGAAAACTAAGGAGTAAACTAGAATCATTCCGAATTGTATGCTTTCAGTCAGATATGACTATCAAATTCTTAGCTAAATGTGGCTTTTGTCATATCAGACACGAAGTGGAGAGGAGAAATATCTCTTCACATATATCAATACACGTGGATAACTACGAACACTCATTCGATTGGGAAAATGTAGAAATCTTAGACAGAGGAATCTCAAAAAACGCCAGAGAATTTTTCGAAACCTGGATCTCAGGTCAATCAGCAATCAACAAACATATTGAAATCAATCCAATTTATCAACCAATCAGGAAAATCATGCATAAATATAGGAACAGGAATCAAAACAATAGGAGACGCAACCAAAACAAAGAAGTAAACAATGATAAATTTACGGTCAACAAGAACCAATCAACATCGAGGTGCACAGAACAAGCTGTTAAACACATATGGAGAAATTCGAACACTTCACTTCTATCTGAGGTTTGTGCTGATGATGTCGTTTAGAAAAACGATGAAAGCTCCACGACCAAACCATCCAGCTCAGAGAACAAAACTCCACCAAAAGAGGAGAACTACATTAACAGTCACATTAAGTTGTAACAACACACAGTACCGAATTAGCTGAGGTGACAGGATCTTACTGCCTCAATGAGAGCAGGACAGATTACATGATTGGAGGGATATACTGACTCCCAAAGCTTCTAACACCGCAAAAGATACTGGGTATATTAAAGCTGCCCCACCTGGTATCTGAACAAATACTACTAACCGAAGATTTCAATACTCCATGCCCGAAACTGAGCAAACAGGATCAACCTCTACAGGGTGGTTCCATAAGCAGCTTACTACAGCCATTAAAAGTTCTGGAATGACTGAACATGTGGGTGGCGCCAATGATATGAGGCAGAGATGGAAAATCTCCATAGCATATTATCAGAACCCCAACATCACTCTCCTCAATGCAACCCTCGAAAAACTGAACATCAAAAAGCCAATACTTAATTACGACCTCATTTGTTACCGCTTAAAGTTAGCCTCCTTTTAAATGCTTTCTCAAGTGAAGTGACTACAACCCCATTAGTGGGCTGCTTTAAGAGGAGACTTGACAAACACGTACTTACCCATGAATAACCATCACCCTATTGAAACAGTTTTACCTGATGTATGTAACTATTTCCTATGCCTTCCAATTTTTTACCTATTAGCAACTAATAGACTTATTTAACATTCTTCAAACAGTCTTCTCTTAGAAATGAACTAATCACTTTGTAGCGGTAAATAAATCCCAAAAATAAATAGCTCTGTAAGTTTTCGACATCAGATGCTGACCATATGTTTTAGTGGGCTCATCTAGCTGAAGGCGCTCGGTCATGCATCCGCACCAGATCACGCGTGGTAACGCTGTGCTCAACATCTACCGCAATCGCTAGCCAGATTGGATCAGAGAATTCCGATATATTGGTAGTCGCCAAATACACTCTTCCGATCTCATCGACTCTGTCTTTTGATTTCTCTCGGTGGGAACAAATTATATTAGGTGTTACTGGTAGAAGCATTGTCAAACACTGAATACCTGTATCATCCTCAACTTTATTACTTTCACATTGCAGTGAAGCAACCTTTAACCTGGTGACGTGGTGACTATTGGTACTCAGAAACTTCACTATTCTGAGACAATCGTACTCGATCACACTACGAGATATTCAGATACACAAAAAACTATCGAACTGACTAGAATTAGTACAATCGAGTAACAAAACCGCCACCTATTTAAACCTCATCAAATATCTCGAGCCGTATCGAAACGACGAGAAGTAAGAGTCAATAAATCAATCAATTTCTACAATCGCGTGACGAAGACATTGAAGATACAATCTACTTTTGGTTTAGCTAATCCCTTAAGAAAGTCATCAAAGTCTCCAACGGAGATAGAAAAATTGCGAGTTTTTAAAAACCTGGAAAGATGGTTCAGGAAGTTTCTTGTTGGTCACTGATAAAAAATCTAAAGTTTAAAATATCATTTAGTTACATCA